ATCTTTCGTGTCTTGCCGTGCTCTCAGCGTACCACGTCGCTTGCAGAAACTGCCTTCATGATCGTTGGTCCTATTTTAATAGGTCTCATCCGCTCAATCCGCCAGAGTCTGTCTTCACATGCTTGGGATAGACAAATCCCTTGCTCACCGAATGTCGAAGACACAACGGCTACTCTCAACCTGGTTTGGCCAGCCTGTCAAAGCTGTTGCCCGGGGTGTGGCTGCTGCGCATGTTACAGCTACTAGGAGCCACAGGTGAGAGCTGAGTGTCAGGTGGGGACCAAAGGTGTACGAGCTGCCCTAAAAAAGGGCACGACATGCCCTCCACCAGAGGTGCTACCCCTCCCTGAACACCCCATACACCCAAACAACAGTTTAGTGACCGTTAAAGTTACAACAGCACTGAAAAATGTGACTTTTTCACAGTTGCAACCTTTGCAGTATCCCCATGATCATGTGATCAAAATTCAGATGTTTGGCAACTGATTCATATTTATGACCGTTGCTGTGTCCCAGGGGTACACATGATCGTTGCTGTGTCCCAGGGATCACCTTTTTGCGACCTGACAAGTAGAGTTAATGGGGAAACCAGAGTCACTTAACAACTGGATTACTAACTTATCAACTGCAGTGATTCGCTTAACAACTGTGGCAAGAAAGTTTGGAAAATGGGGCAAAACTCAACAAATGTCTTACTTAACAACATAAATTTTGGGCTCAATTGTAGTTGTAAGTCGAGGACTACATGCAGTTTAAAATGTAACATATAAATCAGTAGACTTAAGCAGGACAAGATTTTCCCTGATGTCTATAGAGATTCTCAATCTTTCAAGGGCAACCATGGCTTACACTTAAGCTTTTCAAAAGGCAACTGAACCTTTTTTTTCCTTGAAAACATTTCGCTTCTCATCCAAAAAGTTTCTCAGTGGAATGATTTGCCTCCAAAACTTGAGGGTGTTCCAGCACTGGAGATTTTTAAGAAGAGACTGGACAACCATTTTTCTGAAATGGTATAGGGCAGTGATGGCGAACCTTTTAGAGACCGAGTGCCCAAACTGCAACCCAAAACCCACTTATGCATCGTTGGGTGCCGGGTGGATGTGGCCCATTGGCTGGGTGTGGCCCATTGGTAGGTGTGGCCCATTGGGTGGGCGTGGCTGTGGTGGTAACGGCAGACTGGGTGGGACTAAAAAGTTTAATCAATCAATTCCAACTTTGCAAGATCTTTTTTTTCCCCGCGAGAAGTTGAAATTGGCTGATTGAACCTTTTTTTTTTTTTTTGCACATGGCGGCGGAGGCCTAAAGCGAAAAGGTTTTATAAAACCCAGCTGAAGGCCTAGGACTGGGGCGACAGCGCGCGTGCCCACAGAGAGGGCTCTGAGTGCCGCCACCACTGGTATAGGGTTTCCTGCTTGATCAGTGGGGTGGGCTAGATCTCCCTTCCAACTCTCTTATTCTTTTGAAAAGTACCTTTGGGGTTTTCATTGATGTTGCTGCCATAGATGAAATGTAGATTTTCTTTGTGCATTTTACTGGAGGGAAGTGTTTAGAATGGGAGAATTAATGTAAAATAGTGTACACTATGGCTGTCTCAAAAATCAGTTGTCTCTCTTTTCCACATTCTAAAATGAGTAACTTCTGATTAGGACTGCCCAAAGCAAGAAGGTCAAGGAAGGATTTATTCATAGTCTCCTCTGTTGCTTTAGAGTAGTTCCCTTTATTGCTAAAATTGGTTTCTTATTACCATATACCCCAAAACTGTACTATAGCCTCTAAAAGCTATAAAGTATAATTAAACATTGGACCATCTTTAGGGCTGCCCTTAATATTTTGAGGAAATCAAGGTCTGCCTGAAAATAAATCTGCATCTTATATGGGAGTGGAAACAAGTCTGGGAATTTTTTATACATGTTACCTGTTCTAGATCTATTTTAGGGCCTTGACTATAGTTTTCATTTGTTTCCTATGTTAGAATGTCAGGAAACTGTCTTCAGTTTTTGTTTCTGATCATTTTGATCATTTTCTTTTCTCTGGAATTGATTTTAATTTTTCTGAGTACTTCCTGACTTGAGGTTCACAGAACTGGATACAATACTCACAGTAGGATTCAACTTTGCATCATTAGCCAACTACAAAAATGTG